ATACCTTTTGATAATACTCATATTAAATATAAATTTTGAATTTAATCTTAAAAAATATATATCTTCTTATAAACAATTTTGAAACTCATTCTATATTTCTAATATATAATTTGGTATATCAATTTTTGGAATAACTTAATAAGGGTTTGATTCAAACTTCTTTTAGAAAAATAATTAGGTGAAATAAATATATTTTCTCTTTGAAATTTAATAAAATATTAATAAACGTAAAAATTAAATAGAATATAATTACTTTTTTTTATAAAAATTGTGTTGAAAATAAATTTATGTTTATTATTACTCATTATTTACTTACCAAAATTATTATATATAGTAAATTAATGAAAATTTTGTTAAATACAAACGAATTTGTTATAAAATGACTGTCATCTATTTCCTCTTTATATTTTTTAATATATTATTGATTCGTCCACATTATTATTTCTAAAAATATAACAGGCCTTTCAGCTTAACGCTGTAATTTTTTTGAGGTCGGTACATTAATAGTACATCACTGATGTCATCAGTAACATATACTGTCTTGAACTAGTGTGGATTGGGCAACATTATAATAATTTGAGTAATTCTGAAATACAGTAATATAATATAGTATATTTTAAAAATGTATGGTAATGGTTTAATTTTTATTTCATTTCAAAATTTTTGTTTTATAGAGTATATAATATACTACGTATAATTGTTCATTCGGTTTCAACCCAACTTATGGTTCTGTTGATTTTTAAAAATGTGATTTAACTTTCGAATGTTGAATTTCACATCAGTGGTAAGCGACACTCATACGCCCCGTTGTGTCGATCCTGTTTTTATTTTCCTTTGACTATCCAGAATAAACATTGTCCATCTTAATAACCAATCTTCATTTTATTCAATCTAATCAGTTAACGAAATACGTATTCTAATTTTCATTCAACCATAATGTTTACATTACCATGTATTTACAGTCGTATGTGTTCCATGGTATTGCTCCTGATCTACGATGTCGTATCTCCATTTCTCTGTTTCGTTTAATTTGCCGATAACATATTTTCAATGTTATCTATAAGTAATCATTATTAATGTTATTTATAAAAGAATCATTTTCTTTGTTGAGTAAGTTTGCTATTTGAGCTTCTGAGAGTCTGCCCTATCTATTTATCTTCCGAAGTTCTTCTATTGTTCTGGTATGACCCCATCAAACTCACATATCTCTATTAGATATTCTCTGGGGCATTTAGATGCACAAAATTTTTTGGAGTCATTAGTTTATATAATAAGTAGTTCTAATAATTATATGGAATGTAACTTAATCTCATTAACTTTAAGCTTTAATTGAAGTACTTTAATGAAATTGAAATTATATTGAGATATCATATAATTAATATAATATATTATATCCATATTTAAATAAATTTTAAATCTTTAAACCTCCATTGTGTTACCCTAAGACTGAAAATATTTTTGATTTATTATGCGGTGGTACGAAGTCGTGGGAGAAGTAAAAGCTACAATTGCGAAAAAAACAAATTGGTAGAACAATGCAAGTACCATATCTGCAGACCACGTTGTTATTTTATAGAACAATGCACCACAACTCATTCATTAATACGGAATAGATAGTAGAAACATATCTATATGGAATCTGTTTTATTAAAGCTGATTGCAATGCTTGCACTGGCGAATGCTTTTAGCACAAACACCCGCGTGAAGTGTTCATTTTTTACGCAGGCAGTCATATGCAAATAAATGTGGGACACCAAAAAGCATTTCAGATACATAGAACTGCAACAATAACTACACAACACACGTGTACTCGTGTACATCGTTTCGCAGTAGTCATAAACGGCTGCTGGTACCAGGACCAAGAATTGACATGCCACGTTTCCATTATACGACAAGTTTCTACTTCAACGCGATACGGCAATGCGGCAATACTGCAAACTGTTGTGAAAATTTTAATTTTTGAAACGTTGCCACATTTTTTTTTTGCTAGTATTGTTTGATTTTCAAGCATTCATAAAGAAAGCTAACAATAAAATATTTATAAAAACAACAATCGTCCTTTGTTTTGCAAAAATTGCAACGTCCCAATGTTTCTCTAAAAATTCCATTAAAAATTTAAAGTCCTCTCCTACTCTCCTACACACTCGCCCCGAACGTTCGCAATCAATATTTATATCAACTAAACTCCATGAAACATAAAACTTTCAAATCTAAAAGAAAATTTTATATTATATTTTTTTTTTGGTTGCAAAATAAAAGAGTTTCCTGTTAAACACATTTTGTTGAATATTTAAATTTTTGAACTTAATTACAACCACAGAAAGCCAATTTCAAAATTTCACTGTTGATAAATTTTATTTACCTCACAGGTGCGAATTTCGACAATTTAATTATTGTCAGCATTCGGCAGCATGTATAGTAGTAGCAACATCGACATCGACAGCGACATCGACACCGACAATATCACAGCCAAAGCAATGACAGTGGCGACACTAACAGGAGCAATAATGAAATGACAACTCCAACAACAACGACGACAACCTCCATTTTATTGCTTTGGATAATATTTTATTGGGCAGCGGCATGTTGACAATTTTATGGCAGGAACATTTCGCCTTTCCGTCGATTTAACTCGGATAATTAATAAAAACTATATTTCATTAAATGCGCAAAATATGATATGCCAACGCAACAAATACCAAATTATTGGTCATTGTTAGTTGACGGATAGACTCAATTATATTCATATTGAATTGAGTATTATAACTCAGACCATCCATGTGTGTATTTAGCGAATGATATTTTTTTAATGCTGCTATAATATCAGGGAGCCCATAATAGAGTATATATATATAAAAATAATATAGTTTTTTATTTGACATTTTTAATCTGTTAGGTTCTCCCTTTCAGCATACCTAAACCAAATGGAAATCTACACAGACCGCCCTTAACTCTTTTACTTTGAAAAATTCCTCAAGACGAAAAGAGTCTTGCCTGTTTGTCGGCAGACAAGATATTGAAGTAGTCCTTAACAATATACTTCCTAATACAATAGCAGTTGCAATCTCTCGGCTAAGCGTTGATAATGTATTGACTTCGTAATTCAATTACTATCTAGCAGGAATATTAATGCTGCTATGGGTTCATCAACGCCATATAGACAGCTGAGCTTTGTATTAGTAGCGCTTAACATACCACGCCTAATAAAGCCTAATGCTTCACTTAATGTCGCTTGGTTTTTGAGTAACAAATGGCGATATATTTTGCTTCTAGGCTTAAATTTAATTCATAGTGAAAGACAAGTAGCTATAGCCACAGTTCTATTCTTATTATTTTCAGTGTAACTCTAAGAATTGCTGATTAGTTTTCTCCATTTCAAGAGAAAATTTAATCTTGATTTTTCTTCTACAGACACCTGACTGTCAGGAAGTCTCTTTTAAGAAATTCGTTTTACTACATATACTGCCACCCCTAAAGTAGATACTAGTGTAAGCAATAAAGACTAGAAAACTCTATTTATTATTAGCTTTCTGAATAACAATATTTTATAGATGGAGATTATCACTAAGAATAATTACAACTTTCTTCGAAATTTGTAATATATTAAGTATGAGTGTAAACATACTACTTCAAAGTTCTTGAGTTCAAAGAAATTTTGTTAAATTCATATATTTTAGGTTTTCTCATCACTACAGAATTTCTCAGACAAAAATGTTAGCCATTAAAGAATTTATTACTTGTCTGGGAGTGTATAATATATTAACCATAAATACAGACAGCTAAACTGCTTTACAATCCTTAAGTTCAGTCCAATTTACATGGAGGACACTTTTTGATTAGTATGTATATCTGAACGGTTGAATGTTGAAGCAGCTCAGTATTTCACTTTTATGCGTTCACGGTTATACGGATAGATTTAAAAATCTTAAAGTACTTAACTGAGGAAATTATTCAGAACATCTGGCATACAATTAGCACTATGCAAACAGTTGATACAAGAAGGGAAGACTCAACAATATGCTGCATCTGCTAGAAAAAAATCTAATAAATCTCATTGAGACATCTTTTAGAGATATTCCTCTTATGATAGGTTTGTTTAAGGGTCACAGTCATTTAGGAAATCTTACCTTTAATAATTCCCATCGTAGTTGTGAGGAAGACGAAAAAAATGCCTTACTTATACTTTGTCACTGTCTAGTACATGTGTATTTTCGGTTAACCATCCCAGGTACTTTTTTTCTAGATAACCAACAGATGTCTAAGATAGTAAATAACTAGATGGATAAGCAACATCATAACCTTTCTTTTAACTGCAATCAAATATCACACTTTTCCATATCATTATATATCTAGTACCTTAATGTAAAGGAAAAAGATTTGAAAAAAAAGTTTTGAGAAAATTGTTTCTAATAAGTGCCTCAATGACTTTGACAATTGAAAACTTCAGAAAAAGTAAGTTTGTCAGGGTCACCCAATTATATTTATGCAGATTCAGCCTCTATGAATCTGCGTAGAGTAAGGAGTAAAAAGGTTTATGCTAGCATTTACTAATTTTGAAATCTTACAAATAGTAAAATAACATATCTTATTACCTATAATATTCATGCATCGTAAGTGAGTCTAAGATATTTGACTGAAATATTATCTGTTTTGAATTTAATAAATGAATGGATGGAATGGAAAGCAGAAAATAGCGTATGCTTATTTGAAAAGTTTTTAGTAACCTTCAGAAAAATTGCTTAAGATTTTTTTGGGGAATCGGTCTGTTACGTTATGCGTGTTGCACTTCCACCTTTAATGCAGTCAATTTGCTTTTCATTCAAAATTATTTGAGCTAATGCCAAACAATCATCCAAAAAACTGCACAAGAGAAACTCAAAGAAAATGAAATGTTGGGAAACAAAAGTCTTATTTTATTAAAAAATATTTCTGCTATTTTAAATTCTTCGCATATTTCCATTTTGCATTTAAATACAAAAATTATTTCTCGTTTTTTGCAGATGCTGCTCACATGGATTGGGTTATGTCTCTGGGCAATGCCCGTGCTAACTGGCGCGGGCCGGAAATGCCCCACAGAATGCACTTGCAGCATAGACGAACAGAATCGCTATCAGGCAGTCTGCACAAAAGGTGAGCAAAAAATTTCCACAAAATAAAAATAAATAAACAAACGCAAAGAACAGGGGAAACTAACAATGGAAAATAGTTAACTGCACAAGAATATCCTTCTGAAATTTTAAAATGGAGAAAAAAATACTAAAAAAAATTGCAAAAAATAGTAAAAAATAGTAAAAAATAGTAAAAAATAGTAAAAATTGAAAATAAAAAAAAAATCAAATTATTTAATAACAATAACTTAGTGCGAACGAATTTCAGTGAACAAAAAAGGACGACCTCTGCACAGACGTTTCGCCGACTATTGATAGAAGAGCTCCTAAAAGAATGAAGCGAAAATGAAGAAAAAAATTGAATGAAAAGAAAAAAATGAAGTAAAAATTAGCGGAAATGAGTGCAGCGGAAATCAAGTCAAAGTGTGCATGCAAAATGGTTTGCATAGCGGAAACATACCATTTTACAATATTTTCGTATCTGTGCTCATAGGTGTGATAATTTTATGCTAAACGGAAATGTTGCTTTCTGCCCTAAGTGCGCATATTTGTGTTAGGAGCACGTTTGGCACGTTCTTGAATTATGTGCGGAACGCACACAAAGGCTAAAAATTTCATATCCCAGCCGTACTTTATTTATTTCTTTTTTATGCGATTTGATTCATGGCATACTTAAAAGGTGGATCCGGCGAGTACCAGTGCGAGCACCGCGTAGAAGCACAAAAATTTTATCGCAGAATTCAATATGCTCAGAACGGGCACCTTTTTAATTGTTGTGCTTAAAATATGGAAATAAATTTACCCAAGTACTCGTACGAGTAAATGTACTTAAATTGCTTAGGTACTTACCCATTGTTATGTACTTAATTTTCTCTTATTTTTCAAAAAGAAGAAAGAAGTAATAAATGTTAAGATACAATTTTCTATTTAAAGAGTTTATTTTTAAACACCAAAATTTTTTAATTAATAAGTAAATCTTCAAATAAATATACATTCTCTATAAGAGTATCTGGAATAATTATACGAAACACATAGAAATTCTAATCACTAACCGCACGAGCGATACGACGATCTTAGATCAGTCATTGAATATTCACGAAGTGTTATACAACTATACTAGCAATCAATCAAATCATTTTTCCATTCTCACACTAAAACTACGTTTACATTGTGAGCATAAGTAGATTAAAGCAATCATCCAGATTAAAGTACTTATCTAGTTGTTTAATCACAGATTTCCCATACAAAACTTAATCTCGTTTTTTTGAGATTAATTCTAAATCTTCTTAGAAATGGGAATTTTCTGTACAACTTAGAAGAATTGGAAAAAAATATCAAAATTTGGAAATTTGAAAAGGTCGAAGTGAGTTAAGTTTTTATTGAATTTTCATACTAATAGTTTAATAATAGTTTTATACACTGGCGTTATACACTGACGATACGTGTATACTCTACTCGAATAAATGTGCTCTCAAAAAAACCAACACACTTTAAGAGCATATAAACTTCATCCTAGAGTACCATATTTCCAGAAATGGGAAATAAAAATCTAAAATAAGAAAACTGAAGCTCATTACGTATAAAAAGAGACAGAACCCGTTGAAAGTGAGAGTGGGAGATATGGTAATAAACTGGGTGGATAGCATTAAGTATCTAGGGATCACAGTGGACAAACGATCCATATGACTTAAACATGTTCAACTGAAAAGAATTAGCTGTGCCAAAATTCTCCATTACCTCCAACCGCTATTCAAAAATGAAAATTTCAATGCTAAGAACAGGAATTCGTCCGTCACTTCTATATGGATGTTCAGCATTTAGCAAACCTTCAAACACTACTATTCGCCAGCTAGAAATTGCATAAAGCCAGGCTCTGAGAAGACTTTTCAAGGTACCGTGGTACGACATTGAATGCTTTATTTACAGAAATTTATTAAACACTCGAAACGAAACATAACCTCAAAATTTATCTCCAATGTAGATGATGTAACTTAAAAATTTGGATTAACTTAATCTCGTTCTCTTAAGCTCACAATGTAAACAAATTTAAAGCGAGCAAATGTTCTACCTACGAAAGTCCGTCTGGCTTTGACAAAAAAACGAAAATTTAGTTGAAACTTCAAAAGGAAAATAAAGCAGATATAACTAATAAAACTAAAATTTTTCTTATTATTTTTAAGAATGAGAATCTCGAAGTAATTAGATGCTAAGATTGAAATATTAAGGATATTTGTGTTACTGTATTAATATTTTAACGCCCCAGCTAATAAAATAAATCACGACAATTTCTTTCAATACTTGAAAGTTCCGTTTTCGGAACAAAGCCAATGAAATCCTTATGAGCAGTAATTAATTTTTCTTTCCCGATTCACAATATTACACGCAAATCTTAAGTAAATTAAAAAGTTGTCTCTCGTTTGAACTGAAGTATTTCTGTCGATGCTTTCGATTTTGTCAACCTCAAGGCTTCAGTGAATCACTAAAGCAGACGGATACCATCACACGCTTCGTCAGATGTTAAGAAAGAAAAAAATCATGAAATAAAATATTATTATTTTGTTGCTGTTATCCTTTTTGTGTGATTTAACTTTTCAGTTTACAGTTCGTAGTACCTTTCGCTGTTTCCGTCATTTTGTATTTTATTGCATTTCTGCCATTGCATAACTGCACACGCCAGTTGCAGGCAATGCAGTGTTGCCAACATTTGCTTATCACACACTCTGCTCTCTAGTTCCCATGAATTCATATATATTTTATTTATTTCTCTCTTGATTGTTACGACATTAATTAAGTGCGTTTTTAAGTTACTTCCTTAAGATATTTGCATGTTGTTTGTCGAAATGATTTGTTACCTGACGAAACACGGCGCACTAAACTGTAAGTCTAAGGATTAGTCTAAGGAACTCTAAGGTTTATATCGGGAGTTTGTGTGGATTGTTTGCCTATACCTTGTATTTTAGCAAATTATGCAAATTATTTGTTGAAATTTATATTAATTTTTGAAATTTTATTTTAAATGTGAGATATCGTGGGTTTAAGTTATATATTGCAAATATAATCAAATTCTTCAGTTGAAGTAAAAAATTTTTAGCGAAAACAAATTAAAATTTTTTTTTTTTCGTAGCGAAACTTTAATAATAACATAATGACATTAACGAATTGTAGCATCTCTCTACCACTCCCACTCCACTCTACCGGCAATTACAGTAAATATCCTTTTCCAGCTTGTATTTTTAAGTAAATTTTTATTGCTATTTAAGGAATAAAACTGAGCAGCAAATAAATTTATGAAATTGCATCAAGGATAACTGCGAACAGAAATTAAAAAAAAATGTCTGACAAAAATATTCTAGATGAAATCAGTTTCCAGTTTCCAGTTGCCAGTAATGCAAGCGCTGAGAAATAAATATGAAAATTATTAAAATTTAAAAAAAATATTTAATTTTAAATTAAATACGCAAAAGGATAACAACACAATAAGACAAGCAAAAATTCAGGCAAAATAAATATTTTGTTTGTTTAAATGTGCGTTTACATTATTATAATCATCATCATGAATGATGATCATAATTATCGTCATCATCATTATGGCAATGATAAACATCATTATCATTGCTGTCATTAACAACGTACCGTGCCTGTGCTGTTGGGATGTGTTTTGCAGAGAATTTGTACTGCTTTTGGACCGAAACTGCCACGAAATTTCTCGTGATGAAGTGTGTACACTGCCGTGTTGCATACAACGTGCCAAGACTCCCAAACTGAATTGTCCATGCATTTTTCATGCACTTCCACGCAAACAAACGGTGATGCAGAGAAGTAGAGATGCAGAGCCGCAGAGATACCTTCGCTTATCTACATAAATAGCAGCGAGTATGTGCATATGAACCTAGAGGATTCTCAACAAACCGTAGTATATACTGCAGGTGCATTAGAAAGGAAAATACATAAATAATTATACATGTGTACAATTAATTTTATTAATGCACAACTGTGCACACATTTATAAATCTCACTAATTTCATAAAAGATAACCTGAAAGCTTAAAATTCCTTCATACAAATTTCAAGTAATTACATTTTAGCGGGCAACATCCATGGGCCTCTTACATTTTTTTTAAATATTTTCAACCTCAATTTTATTTTTGCTTTTCGTACGAAAATGTTCACATACATACAACTTAACTCGAATTTTCGTTAGTGAAAATTGAGGGATGTCCTACCAGAATCTAAGTGTTTAGAAACATTCTACATAAATTTCCCAGTAAGTGTCGAAATCTCCCAGAAGAAATCTACCCTAAAGAGCACGACTACATGAAAATTAGAATATATTCAATGACTTCTATTTATAGAAAGCACACACTATGACTTTATAATCCTAATAAATTTTAGACAATGATTAGACAATAACAATTGGCCAATTTAGCTTGAATATCGTAACATATAAAAGACTGTTTAGTTTTACGATATATACTGAAATGACTATCGCTAACAATTTTCATCAACTGAATACAGCAGAAATAACAAATAAAGACTACTTATTCCCAAAGGCTTAGTGCTAATTTAGTACCAACCTAAATTTTATTAGGCTACTAATTCGGGAGGAGATCTGAAGTCTTAATTCGTTTAAGTAATGTAACCGTTCTTGGTACTTTACCGCAAGCTTTTGTATTACTGCAACTACAGATTCGATCTTTAAGTGCCGATGGAGGTCAGTATGAACCACAGAGCGTTGAGTAAATTTCTTAGAATTTTGTTTTGAATGATTTGAATGGATGATTTTGGTACACATCACAATAACTGGACTCCATACGTTCAGACCGGAGCTAAGACTTGCTTGTATAACCATAATTTATTGTTTAGAGAAACCTTGTTGATTTTTTCCCAAGAAGCCAATATAATGTTTTCTGTTTTAATTCTAGCTGTCTAATAGCTCATGAATGTAAAACTATATATACAATTAGACCCCTACAGATTAACTAATTTCCGGTGCTAAAGTAACTAAGTGAATAAAAATGTTTCATATGTATATATATAAATGTACTCCCACGATTTGTTTCGGACTAAGTATCAGCAGATTATGTGCCTGTATATATACTAATCCTGTAATAAATGTTTATTTAAAAGAAGCTATTCAAGCGGGTAATATTGAAAATATCGAACTTTGTAAATTTAGTATAAGAAGAAAAAAAGTTTTTCATAAGTAAATTAATATAAACATTCTCTTTTTTCAATCAGGTGGACTAACTGCTTTTCCCACAAACCAACTTGATTCTGATGTTAAAATCATTATAATTAGAGGACCTCGGAACACCATTACAATTGGACCACTCCTGCGTCAATTTACAAAACTGGAGGTTTTACGCATTACAGACTCGAATTTACCAGCAATTGGCAATGAATCCATTTGGGGTTTGAAGTATTTACGCATTTTGGGTGAGTAGAAAACAAATAACTATAATATGAAATGAAGAATGAACCTATAGACGGACGAAAACTGATTTTAAGTGGCATAAATACAGTTCAAATTGAAATTAGTTTTTCCAAGTAAAATTAAAAACTAAACTAAACTTTATTCACTTTTTAAAACAAATTATGAGCGCTTAAAACTTTTTAGTTGACTAAATACTTTTCTAACAACTAGTAATATTAACAAACTTTTGGCTCTATTAGTTGATAATTTAATAAAATATTGATCTCACATATATGTGAAATAAACTTTATGTATTTTCATAAACTTTTCTAATGCAAAAGTATTCAGTTTGCTTTTACATTTATTTATAAGAAGTACTTTGACTTGGAAGTTCAAAAATTATAACAAAAAAAATCCCCGCAAAAGGAGCGGATAAGTGATACTATAATACAAAATAATAGTATTTATTCATATATTTATATATCAAAAATAAAAAACAGAAATAACAATATTTGTTCCATAAAAATTCCCAAACCAGAGCATACTGATTTCGAGGATATTCGAAATGGGTATGTAGCGTTGGATCGTCAAACATTCAATGGAAATATCTCGTTTAATATACGAGATATTATAGGTGTCTGACACAAATATTTGCAAACCAACTATGCTCCACTAGGTCACAAAAAACACAAAATTTTAAGTGCATACCATCTAGAGGATGAAAATCTTCAAAAGCTCCTTTGGAAAGAGCTGATTCGTTTTCTTGAGATACTTAATTTTAAAATACAAAGAGGTGCACAACAGATCAAGCTAGTCGAAGTGCATAAAGACTTTAGCTTAATACATAAACCATTACCATAACCATTGCCATTACTCAATTTTTAATCACTACACCTTCATTGTTATGAACAGAAGTGTTCCATTATTTTATGTGAATATCAGTATGTTGAAGCTAGTTGAGTCAGTGCAATTGAGCACTTTTACTCTTTATTAACTGCAAGGGTTTTTCATAACCTCTATCTATGCCTTGACAAGATTATCTCTTCATCAGACTAAGCAATAACTGAGATTCGATAATGCGGTATTGGTAAGCCTGTCGGTTTGCATAAATAGTTTTAGGGCTCAATTCTTTATATATTTTTTTGATCGGATCCATCTTGAAGTTCCTGAGGTGATAAAGAATTTTCACACAGCTAATTCTTTTCAGTTGAACATATTTCAGCTATGTGAATCGTGTGTCGACCGTGATATTTATATTTGTATGGTATGATATTTGATATTCATGATATCATGATATTTGATATTAATGATATCATGATATTTGATATTCATGATATCATGATATTATGATATTTTTATATGTATATATAAAATAATCAATCACTGTGTGTCTAACTACTCGATGCACTAGTTCAAAGGTTTTAACGGAATCCAATTGGTGATCGGGAATAAGTCTATTTGCCTTGATTGTTGGTGTGACATGTTTAAGAAATATTATTTCCATGACTTTCGTTTGCAGCGGTTATAGAATTATTGGGCTATATGATCTAATATAAACCACTTAAAATTTTTTATAAAAATAACATTAAAGAAGAGTGTTGACAAATTTTGGGGAATCTAGACATGTCGGTGATGAAATATTGGTTTACTCCAGATTATCATGCCATTTTTATTTAGTTTCAAAACCATTTCACTAAAAATCAATTTGATATTCCATACTCAATGTTTCCATTAGAAGTATCCCATAAGTATCCATAAGAGCACACTGTTTTCAGTTTTATCAAAATATTAGGTTTTCGCAGAATGCAAAATAACAACAACGTAGGTTTTGAAGTGACATGAACATAAAACTATTTCGTTACCGTAAGATATGGGAGATGTCGACTCAGAGTACTTGTAATAAACCAAAATGTAGTTCACTAAACGTTGTGCAAAACTAGCCATCAATATATCAATCAAATCGTCAATCAGTCGGAAACCATAAAACCGAAATGCACTAAAAATGAAACAAAACCGAACAATCAGCAAACGAAATAGGGAAAAGGGAAAATTTAATCAATTTTACTGAACGCAATAAAAGTACGCATAAAAATACCATTATGCCATTATGCCATCCGCAGCAAAGGATAAACAGCAAAAACGCATTTTTATGTAGTGACAGCGATTTAGAGGAATTCAATTTTACTAACCAGAAGAGTAGTTAAAACCAAAACAAACGCCAATAGATACAAATACAATAGATACGCAAATATTATTTTAATGCTTTTGTTGTTGTACTAGAACAATGCGTGCAGCTCCAAGAGGAAATAAAAAATAAAAACAAAAAAAAAATATCGTAAATTTAACGACTTTTCATTTATTTTAACAAAACAAGGATAATAAAAGGAAGACAAGTAGGTGCGGATTTAGTAGCAAAAATGTTGGTTAGTATTTGAATACGATTGACAATGAAATGAAAGGAAATAAATGTAGGAGTAAGGAGAAAAAATAAAAAAAATTGAAAGCAAATACAAACACAAATACAAATTCAAGTACAAACATTATCGAATAAGGATCGAAGGCAAGGACGAGACTAAACATACTGACTGGCAGACACAAAAACAAGAACGCATAAAACTTCAGTGCTTAGCTTTAATGTTTGTTTGATTTTTGTGTTGGCATTATTAAGCGATTTGCTTTCCATACGTACAGTACGTACAATACGTACAATACGTACAATACGTACAGTAGGTACAGTACATACTGTGAACGAATATTTCGGATTTATGATGGAGTTTGTCATTGCCGGGAAATTAATAGCATTATTATGCATTCACAGTTGTTCTGCAGATTTCGGAAGATTCTTTGTGAAGAGATTGATGGTGCTGAAAGTTAGCCATGCGGTTGATTGCATTCAGGCTGTTAAGCCATTTACGCTTGCTACTGTCTTATTTGATGGGATTAAAGAAGCATTTAACGCCATTTGAGTCATTTGAGCTGTTTCGTGGTAATGATAACAAGTACGAAAGGTTAAATGATTTGAAGCAGTGGAATTATTAAAGGAAAGTTAATAAATTATTTATTAAGTCACATGTCAAAAATTTCTTCATTAAATAATTAATCTTTATAAATAGACTGCTACATTACGATTAAAAAATTTTCGAATTTATGTAACTTAAAACAATGGTAGCATTTTTAATAATTAATTTTAATTACATCAAAAACTGCCGCTTACAACTTCTTGGTCGATTTCTGGACATGTGCTGCACATGTTTTCCTTTGAAAGAGCTACATGAAGGCCCGTAAAACGGTTGTAGCTCATTACAATATGAGGCCGCCCCCTTTCTGGCTATTTCATCTGCTTTCTCGTTTCCCTCAAATCCGCTGTGCCCAGGGGTCCATATAAGGTGAACCCCTTGAAAATCAATATACAATTTATTCTTCCCAAAACGCTTGGCGATTGCAATACTCTACAAAATTTTTCGAAAGCAAAAATAAACCTATAACTTAGAGCACTACATGTAAAAAAATTCATAAGAAATCTACTCAATCACTGTCTTTCAACCGATGATCACCCGAACCATATTATGTATGTGACGATTACTGGTGTTGATGCAGTTTTCTTTTGTATCCTTCACGTAGATTATCTTAGCAGCTTATACGATCACTTTTAAAAAATCTAACCTCTTAAAAAGTTTGAATGAGAAGTAATTTCTAACACATTAACCATTTCGTGAAGAAAGTCTGTTGCCTTTAAATACTTTATATATATATTTTATTAGAAAGCAAGTTGTCAGATATGGATAACTATTTATAGAAAATTATCTTGCACTACTGTTTCGAAAAATATAATTATGTTAAAAAAAAAATTTTGATTCTATTGGGTGCCTATCACTTTGGGAAACGAGTTAGAATAATCCCGATGTTAGGTATACTTATCGTAGAAAAAGACTAAAATATATTAGGCACCACCATGTACTGTTTAGTGGATCACTAGTAGTGAATGAGATTTATCTGTTACAAGGCTAGAGCTCACAGCTTCAGCTAGCTTGACCAATTGGGGTCCCACTTCCAAGGTAGTTGAGTCTACGTCATGTCACCGCTGCGGAGTTGCATAGAATATGTTCTGATGTTTCCTTCTCCTCATGACAGAGTTGACAGAAGTGCCCTGTAAAACGTTCAGTGTAGATTTTAATGTCGTTTCTGCCAAGCATCAACTTTGAAAATTATTAGTTATAAAAAAAAGGTTGGAATAGTATATATTCAGCCAATATTTCTGAGTTACACACCCATCATTTAATACACAGTATTAATCAGAATATAGATATATATTATAAATACATTCACCTAGTGATTAAAGGTTCATCCGTTATTTTAAAATAAAAACTGTTTTTTTATTACAAATGGTGGAGACATTGAAGAGTGCAGAATTCTTGAAAACTCTTCAACTAATTCTTACTATATATAATAAAGGTTCTCCTTATCTAGAGAAGAAGTTAGGAAACTTTATTGGTGGTTAAAAAACTGTTATTAAAAAAGTGACTTTCCATAAGTGACTTATCTCATCCGGCACTAACTATACTACTCAATTGCGCTTCCACAGTAAAAACTTTTACGTTTAACATAAGCAACTCCAAGGATCCAACTTCATGGTACGCGAGAGTAGTTTGAATTCTTCTATAGTTTCTGATTTTGATTTTTCAAACTCGAAAAGTTGGTGAGCAAATGATGTAATAAAAACCAAAAGAAAGAAAGAAAAATAGCGTTGGCAAAAAGTAAGGAATAAAGTTAAGTGAAAAATCAAGTAAAACAAACAATAAAGAAATACAAATGATGATTGTCGTAGCGCATCCTTTTTGGTGTTATTGTGCACAATTCAAAGGATTTTAAGTTGATTGTGTGATTGTGAGAAATGAATATTTACACAAAAAATAGAATAATGTTAAATTAAATAAAAAAAACGACTGAGCAACAATAGCAACAGAAGAAAGCAAATGTAAACAAAAATAACTTCTCTTTACCAAAATACAAAAAAAAAATATAAAAAAAGCGAAACTATAAAGCGAAGATGTAAAAAATCCTAAATAAACATATGCAAATTCGTGTTCTGCTCTGCAAAATATGTGGCGGTGCATACGTTCGTCTCAAAGGCGTGGTTCAGTTACATATCAGAAAAACGCTTTTCACAAAAAAAAAAATATAAATAAATAAAAAAAAATAATAAGCAGTTGAAAAAATTTTAAAGAAACCATGTGAAGCCACAATAAACAAGCAATCTGCAGACAACAGGGCGTATACGTAATGCGATTATTTCGTTTTGATGATATTTAACTTAGTATTCATATGGGATGTGTACGTATCTGCTTTTTAAAATTGATTTTTTTAAGAGTTTTTTTTTAGAAAAGTAATAAACTACAACAACAAAAATTCGTTTTTATATTATTTTTAATCAATTGAATTTTTGACAGACCATACAGCTGTTTCGGATATCACCTATCATCAGTAATCTTTGAAATAATTCTTGTATTTGATTATTCGTAAATATTTTTGTCTGCAATTGTAAGTTTGTCTGCAATTACAATTCCAGAAACTCCAGCTTGACGTGTTATCTATAGGATTTATATCTGCTTTAGTTTTGTTAATTATATTCAGCTTTTCAAAAGACTCAATCACCAGTTTTGACGTCACCTATTGAGAATTCAGTGCCTTCAATGCTACTTAACTATCACTTAGCATGGACTTATATATAATTAAGTTTGTTTTTTTTTTGATATCATCTGTTTTCGTATTATTTTTTAAAATAAAGATTTTTCAGCTATCAGACAAACCACAATAAAACGTTTTTATTTAAAAATTTGAAGCAGATATTTCATCCTTTATTTTAGAATAACTGATGATGTTCTAAAATAAAGGACGAAATATCTGCTTCAAATTTCTAAATAAAAGCGTTTTATTGTGATTTGTTTGATAGCTAAAAAACTTATATATAATGTCAAAGTGCTTCTTACAAAATATATTTAAATATATTATGCGATTCACATATAAATAATTCTGATCTATTGATTTTGTGACTACACATTTCATTATTTAAAAATATTACTAATAATAATAATATTTTTAAGCAATATCTATGTATTGTTTTAACTTAAGTAACTCAAAACATTTTTTCTTGTTTTTTTTTATATAAATCTTGCCATATATCACACAAAATTTAAACGATGATTTATACACTCCAAAAAATTCTTCGACTATATGTCATACTGTTTGACAAAAAATGAAATTTGTTTATGACTGAACACGTCACGTCACATGATGACACTTGAATACTCGCAACTTACACAATGTGAACGGCTTCCAATACTCTACAACAGATCTTTCCAAAAATAACATAACCAATATAAAGGAGAACAATTTCCGGGGACAGGACAATTTAATTGAATTGGATCTTTCCAAAAATAAAATTCTACGTATGGCAAGTTCAACATTTCGTCATCTGAGAGTAAGTTTTTTTCTGAAATATTTTATTACACATTTTTTTAAGTTATATACAAAAATTGTGTTTTATTTTTAATTTATATTTTATTTTTAAATAAAATTTTTTATTTGATTTTCTTCTTATTATTTTATAACACTACTTAAAATACTTAAAAAAACAATAAAGAATTTAATAATCTCTTAAAATACTTAACAAATTCCTGGCAATGATTTTTTCTCTGCAACAAAGTGTGTGAAAATAAACTGCCAATGTAGAAAAATGTAAGAAAAATCATAAAATTTATACGAATTTCATTAAAAGTGCTATTCAGAATATAAATAATTTTAATAACGACATTATATAAGAAATTGAAAGAATGTTCCTTACCATTAATGTTACTGAGCAAAAGATATCCTCAATATTCTCAGCTAAAGTTTTCGTTGCAAGCACTGCATTTTTATGAGTTTACTGTAGCTGAAACTGCAAACTGTATGCACTTTTCAATAATATACAATGTAATATCCTTTAAGTCCAGCTCATCTGCTGCTGTCGTTGCAAGTGTCATAAATTTCAAGAGTTTTTCATACTACAGTATGTTGCACTTGGTATGGCAAATTAAATTTCACTTGTTGTGTGCCAAACCAAATACACTTCAACCCTATTCAACCCAATTCAATCCAAGCCAGCCAGTTGTGTATCCAGCCAGTAGCTCATTCCAACGATTCCACTCATGTCATCATTTTCAGTTGCCGGTTTTGATAGGAACATAACGCAAACTTTATTAATGTAGAATTTTAATTTCACTTCGCCATTTTCTCCATTTTCTCACTGTTAATAAACTCATGTTTCAGGATCTGCATCCTGTATATCCTTACAGTTTTTCAATTAATTTTCAAAACTATAAGCAAACAATTGGGTTACTTAAGGTGTCTTTAAGTGTACATTAAATCATATCGTTAGCTACATTATGCATACATATATAATCGTACATATATATATGTATGTAAAGTAAATAAAAAATATACGTAAAGGTTCTTCAAACTCTTGAAATATGCATTCATTCTGTGGATGTGGCGTACTTAAAATTCTTGGTTAATGGCGGTTTGGCTGTAGAGAGTAACCAAGGTTTTCCTGCCCACAGAATTTATTACCAAAAAAACACGCAGAATTACAAGCAATAAAAATCTTTATATTTATGTTTAATTTAAAATCATTTTTTGTTAATTTTTTAATTTTTATTAAATTTATTGTATAAAATTTTATTAATTTTATTAATTTCATTAATTTTTTTTACACAAACTTGTGCTCGGTGCGCTTTGTAAATTAATATTAAATTTTAATTGCCATTGTAAATCCTTTTCTCATCCTTTCCTTTATGCGCTGAATGTATGTACAGGAATTGCAACGTCTTAATTTGGCAGATAATTCAATTGTAGAATTAACACAGAGAAACTTCTTTATGCTCAACAACTTAAAGTATCTCGATTTAAGTGGAAATCCGTTGCAAGATTTACAGCCGGATGTGTTCCGTGATGTGCCGGTAAGTAAATTTGCATACTTAAACATGGGTACGCATGTGAAAATCAGAAAATAATTTGCATTTTATTCCAAAAAAAAATGAATAAATAAAAAAAATAGTGTTTTAATTAAATTTTAAATTCAAAAACAATTTATTGCTCTTAAAAGTATTTCCAATAAAAAAAAAAGAAAATATTTCTAATAAAAAGTTTCTCTTCATTCCCCTTTTATAGGAATTAAGAATATTCAAATGCCGCAATTGTCAACTGAAGAAAATCAATCCACAATTGTACAATTTACTACCAATGTTAACCGAATTGGATTTGGGACGTAATGAGGTAACTTTTCTTCACAGAGCAAGGAATAAATTATTCCTTTTAAAAAGTTTACAAATAATTTCAACACCCATACAGCATTAAATTCATCTATAAATTTTTATTATAGATAACGACATTTTTTCTTAACAACAGTTTAAGTATTGGAAGCAAATATTTGAGTCAACTCTTGTAAATATCTTAGAGCAAAGTGAAGTATATATAGGTCAACATTGCTTTTCTGTTACTTAAGTACATATATTTTGGCAAAGTTTCAATTTGAAATTTATAGAAGTAGTAAAATGTATTAAATTTTTTAATTGATTTTAGTTAAAGATATAGCATAAGAGAAGGGTATAAAAAATCCGAACGATATTCACACATATCCTTATACATCCTTTTCGAAGTTCAAATTGAAAATAAAAAAATATTCAATATATAAAATATAGCATTGGTGATTGCTGTTAGGATGTTGTTTTGATATCGTTGGATTATCCGCCTATATGATTTAAACGATAAACCCCAGAAATGAAATCCGTGAGGCCAAAGTAAACGTAATACCTGTATGTATACCATTAGCTTGTTTTCCATTCACATAACAGAATGTTTTCCAAGTAGCCATTTAATTGAGTTGAACTTGACCTTTAATTCTTGACCTTTTTTTGACATATTTCGCATCAATGACTTAGAATCATAGTGGTTTACGCAAGTTTCATTCACTATTTGTGATCAGATGAAACAAAATATACTTTATATCTTTACTTCAATGCTGCAGATGTTACAGAAAAGCCAGATTTGAATATTTTTTCCTATGATGCTAACGATTGCGACACCCATTATTTACCTAGATTTTTGAAATCCCAATATTATCATAATATATTGTCCACTATATTTCATGAAGAGCGTAGAGTTTTTATGAAATCAGTAGATAAAGTCACAAAATCATATCCGAATATTTGAAATAGTTTTCTATGTTCAGATAGTTTTTGAATGTTCTATACAGGAATCATCTTCAAAACTTTTGTGACTGGTTTTATAAAAATTAACTCACTCAAAAACCATTGTTTTGAAGAAGAAGATTTATCTGACACTTTAACTATTCTAAAATGCATTTTGTTATTTTTACTTGTTATTTTTGTTACTTTTTTATTGTATGTAAGGTATTCTTCTTCAGCAGAACAGAGTTGAGATTGTTGGTTTCATATTTAAAAGGTCACCACGGACTTTGTTATCACCTTAACAAAATGGGTCTGTCCAAAGAGATGGATTGTCGACTTCGCTTTGTGCGGTTAGTGATTACTCTGAGATTGGATAGTGCTAAGTAGGGTAGCCTGTCGGTTTTCGCATATAGCTTTAGAGCTCAGTCCTTATGTATTTTTTGACCGGATCTATTTTAAAGTCTCTTAGCATAACATTCGTGCGGATGTAGCATGGAACTTGTATAAGTAGTTTAAATTTACTTAATTAGCCCACATTATTATATAACAATAATATAGATTAAGTAAAAATAACCTTTAAATAAATTACCTGTAAAATTCGAAAAAGTGTAGAAACCTTAAACCGGTGTTATTCTCAATAAATATATTTTATTTCAAATCAAATGTGATATGAAATAAAACTATTTTTGTATATTCTTCCATTTAAATTTAGTTTAAATTTTTGGACAAGGACGAGTTTCGCGATGTAAAACGCCTAACAAAGGTTCTTCTCGATGGCAATCAATTATCTGTCGTTGTCGATGAGCTGTTCCGTATGCAAAAGAGTCTCAATCATTTAGGTAAGACAAAAACTATTAAAACTAAAAATGTTAAAATCTATTGAACTTTAAAAAAAGTTTTAGTTCTTTTTAGTTTCAAGAGATTTTTCCATTTCCTTTATTTTTTTTTTGTATGGATTTTATCTGGGATGAAAAATTTTTCATTCTGTTTGAAAATTTTCACGTAATTTTTTTTCTTCCAGATTTATCCTATAATCGTTTGGCCAAAGTACCCAATGACTCCTTTTTGCATTTGAGCAATTTAACATTTTTGGATTTATCGTACAATAAGCTGGTGCGACTGGAACCGCAATCAGTGCGACGTTTAGGCAATTTGCGAACATTGAACATCAGTGGAAACACACAAATGGATTTGCATGAAATGCGTGAAACTTTCGAGGTGGGTTCATTTAACATAAACTCTCCACCCAGAACTGTGAACAAGGAAACGTTCACACTTTTTATGTTGAACATATTTGACACTCTGTCATGTCAGTCGTCTCTCAACTAAAATTTAATACGATTCACAAATTTTTACAATAATTTCATTGTTGACTTTTCAAAAAGCAAAGTTTAAACAAATTAAAATTACAGGGTATGAAAATTATGTTAATAAATGGAATCTTCATCATCTCCAAAGTGCAGACAGAAATGAAAATTCACAAATTTCAGAGATATTTAAGAGAGACTTTAAAGGAAATGTTTTGTCGAAAATTAATTTAGTAGGGAACTTGTAATTAACTTTGAAGTTTGAGAAATTTATTTATACTTTCCCGGTATTGCTTTTACGGTAATTTATTTTTATCAAAGTATTTATTTAAAATTAATAAAACAAATAAATTTGTTATAGAATAAGGTGTTTAAAATATTTAAACAAGATTTCGATTTTAGTAATCAAGTATTTATAGATTGTGTAGACTTGTTTGGATCTTGTTTGATTCTTCAGAGCTTTTCCTTTTATTTAATTAACATACATGCGCCATTTTGTTGAAATACACACGAAATAAAAAGTTGGCAATTCCTAAAATATATTAATTATTGGCACAATATTTATGCACTTATAAGCATTTTCGACACACTTAGCATTTAGTCCAAAAAGTAGATTGGTAAACACAAAGCACCCTTAATTCTCATTCAGCTTTAAGATATGTAAAGAAGACTCCATAAACATGAACTTTACAGGTTCTACCCTCCGTCTAGGTCATACAAATGATCTTACAAAGATAAATAAATCAAAAATACGATTAAAAATATAACACTTTTGCACTGGAAATTAAGCATAGATAGTGTCAGACGGAACCTAGGATCTTGCAACTGAATAACATGAGCCCATATTCCAGTTCAGTGCAAAGATTGTTTGAAAAAAACCAATTTGAACTTTATTCTTGAAAAACATATATATTGTCTTCTTTTTCTCTTCTTTTTATATTTGTTTTTAAACAGAACCTATTACCATCATCCATTTTACTCGAAAAATTTAACATAAAATTCCATATACAAAAAAATTTTCACAATATCCAAAATTTTATGGCGACTTTTTATTATATGAGGTTAGGTTAGATAAGGTTACCCCTAATCTAACCCTAATGCTACCGCATTATTATAAACCCAAGGGTTAAAACCTTTGGTAAAACTTATGATGCTATTTAAAGCGAGGTCCTGAAGTTCACCAAGATCCTCAAAAAATAAAGCCCCTATAATGTTAAGGTGGCGCCGTGCATGTGCCGGACAGAAGCACAGCGGAAGGGAGGCACTTTCATCACTTAATGATGATTAATTTTTATAACAATTTTTTGTGCAAAATAAGTTTTCATACCAGATTTAAGTAAAAACTTCACTTTATGTGAAATTTTGACGAAAGATACGTTACATCAATTCAGCTTCCCTTCACTCTTTTGAATGTAATTATCCGCTTTTGATGTTCAAAACTATTTTTCAAAATATTTGAAATGTAAAAACTAGAAAATATTTAAATTGAATTTTTGATAAGCAATAAAATTGATTGATTTACATTTTTTAGTATTAATCACTTCATTTTTTTACAGCTCATACCACAGTTGACGCATCTCTCCATTGCTGACATGGGTATACTGCCGATGGGTTTACTTGTCCCATTCAAACAATTGCGTTATTTAAACATATCTGGAAATCATTTGGACAATATGTCATTACAAGTAATCGATCCATGCAGGGAATTGGAGGTATGTTGATAACATTTAACATTTCAAAATGCAATTGTTGCAATAAAAATTGTCCTATCATTGTTAGCAGCATAGCTAACAACAATGATGCGACAACGGCAGCAACAGTATAGAAACAACAACAGCAATGACATTTGCGAATATATCGTTTGTTTGTTATTTTTTTTTTTGTTTTTGTTATTTATTTTGTATCTAACTACTCGTATATATATATGTATGTATGTCTTCATGGTATGCTGCTAAATGCTGTCACAGCAACAGTAACAGCAACAGCAACAGCAACAATGGCTGTTGCAATACAAATTACACGAACTATGCACTTTGACAAAATTTAAACAAAAACTAACAACAACAACAACAACAACAGCAACAATGAGTAAAGGAAAAGAAAATAATTTAAACAAGAAAATCATTTTTAATCCAAAATGTTGCAAATTGCTACAAATACTTATACAAACAAGAAAAACAACAAGAACAACCGATATGCTGCTAACAACGTTGGGTACGTAACAACAGCAACGCAGCAAGTACAGCCAGCCAGCCATCAAATTAAATACAAATACTAGTACGAGGGAATAGGGTACCAGCTGTGCTGGTAACACAGAACACTCAAAATCGCACTTGCATATTGTTTTTGTCATGGTAATCGTAGTCGTAGTCGTAGTCGTTGTCGTCATCATTGTATTTGTTATTCTTGCTCTTGCTGTTGTTGTTGTTGTTTATTTAATAGTTACTGTTACTGATTTGTTATTGTTTTAACACTGTTGTTATTGTTGCTGTTACAACTGTCAACAATATGTTTGCGTTGATGCTGATAACTTTTTGGCCAATTGCAAATCCTTCACACAAAATTCAACAATTGCACTGCACACCCCCTCAACTTACCCGATATTTCCACAAACAACAACACTAGCATTGGCCAAAAACAACAATAACAATAACGTTCAAATGATTGCAAATAAGAAGCAATAAAAAAAACCAAAAAAACCAAAAAAAAAGAAAATGTTTGTATGCAAAAGTAAGGACACAAGAATGTGTCCAACTTTTGTTGTTGTTTGGTTTTTTTGTTTTGTTTGTGGTAATATACAATGTCAATTGTGTATTTATGTGCGTGCCAAGTGTGTAATACTGAATGCGTGTGTGTGTGTGTGCGTTATCTGCTTGTTAGCAAGTAATAAATTGTTCATTTGCTTAATAGCAAACCAAAGAGCTCCGTTGCTCTTGTTTTATTATTGAAAACTTCTTTCCGTCCTTGTTGTTGCTCTTTTATCAGAAAACCACAGCGCCTCTTGCGCTCTTGACCAATTTTTATTAGATTTTTGTTGTTTGGATTGTCTTTGCTGAATTTTGTGCAACATTTCCGAACGCAATTTTATGTTGCACATCTTTTTTGGGAATTTGTTAGCAAAATTGCAATTTTATTGCTTTTTAAGCCTTTAATTTAATTGAATTAGACTGTGCCCAAGTTGTGTCTCGAAATGTTTTATATCCTTTTTGGGTTTTCATCTGTTTCTATACGTAGATTAATTCCTTTGCCAGTTTTGCAAATTAGGCATAAAATTTTAATAACAATTTTCGATAGAACTCGAGGGTTTCGTCACTCGCATAAGGGTGTCCTTCAAAAGCAGACGAGAGTGTGCAAATGCATTAAAAATGACAATATTGAACAACAGAGGCTGAAAGTAACATTGGTGAAGCTTAAAGTGCACTTTGCGATTTGGAAAAATATGATTTTATGATAACAATTTTGTTGACAATATATGGTCGTTGGCAAGGAATAGCATATTGGATGGTTCTTCCACTTTAAAGTAAAAGTAAAGAAAATTTTACAATGAAATATTAAATATAACATATCGATTGCGAAGGTGTAAGCATGCATATGAATAGGCAGGCATGTCCAGCAATCGAAACCAGATTCACAATTTGATAAACTTCTATATATTATAATATGAATATTAAGCAGTCACTTCGTGGGTGATAAGATAACGTTAGGTTGATGCAAAGGATCTACTTAAACCTATCGATCCAAGGGATCAACTTAAACCTATTGTTCTACAATACAAAAAAGTCAGAAGTTTTTGGTTCATTAATCATTAATAAATGCTAAAATGCTTTTTAGAGACAGGTCCTAGAGTAAGCTAAAGTCCTTAAAAAGGAAACCCCTAATATAGTTAATCGGCTCCCTTTGTTGCTGAGCAATAACAAAACAGATGCGAGTTATTTTCATCGTACTCTTTACGACTACGACAGAAATGATTACATATGGAAATAAACTTTCTAACATGGTTCTCTAATCGACTGTGACCCGTCAACATACCAAAAACAAATCTGATGTCTTTACCGGTTATTTCAATTAAAGTACAAGATTCTTTCTTAAAAGCGCGCGGCCAACCAGCATACAGATGCCTGCATTTTATTGAGTCCTCTCATTGTTTATTTAATTGCTCAGTACTAATTTAAGGTTTCATTTGAATTAACTTTTCTTAACCATAATTTCCCACGACGAAAAACTCTTTATATGTCGCACATTCCCCTCAATCCTTTTTCTGACTTAACCCTTAGTCAACCCAGTATATCTGTTAAATTTTTCAGAAACTTGTCATTTATTTTTAATTACATAAAATTTTGTTCAACGTTTGCAAGTAGGCAAACGAGGACTCTTAATTCTAAGCAAGTAATATAAATATTGCTGATGAGCTGTGATAAATATGCTTGATCAAAAAAATCAAATATGGATGTTATGGGTTTCAGATCAAGCTTAACGAAATTCCGGAAACGAAATTGCAAACAAAGTTGCGAAAGAGTCAACAATATCATTGGTTTAAAGTTCAAAATGAAGAAGAGCCGCAATGAAAACTATTTACAATGGCTGCCATAATCGAAATATTATAAATCAGATACATAAATATGTGAAGTATTGGAAAACTTAACGAAGCTCTTGCAGACAATTTGAATCATTTATTTTCAGCTATAGCTCAGTTACTAGAATCTTTCCAACACCTTTAGTAATATCATTGATTTTGTAATATCGATAAGACATAATTCTTAAATTTACTTTTACTGTATGTAGTCACATTTGATATTTCTTTATGGTTTCGTTTATACTATATGTTATCATTCAGTGTTTGGGGAGCTTACCCCGGGCATTTTACTTGTGAGGCTTGTTAATGACCGTTCCATAGTGGTTCAGCTTTTCAGTTTTGCGTTACAGTGTGTTCAGAAGGTATTGTCTTCAAACTTTAGGAGATCCTCGATTCTTCTTAAGTACTGTACTATTCGTTCGTGGATTGTCAACAGCATGTTTTGTCCTCATTAATCATTAAATCTGAATGTGTTACTAATTTTTTTTTTTTTTAATAGGGTATATAATAGGGATTATATTGTTGAATGTTTTTAATTTTTTTTTTTGTCAATTTTACATAAAAAATGTTACTATTGACGTTAAAGGATTATTTTCATAAAATATCTAATATGACAAATAATAAAGCGAATTTATTTTCAAATTAATTTTATTTTGTTCTTTTTTTTTGTCATTACAAAATTAAAACATTGTCCCTTTTGCTTTATCTGAGATTACTATTCTTTTAAAGTAAATTATTTTTGTTCATGACATTTTAAAACTTGGAACAAATACTCTGCAGCTTGTGTACGTGTTCCACAAATTTTGTGAATAATCCAAGGATAATCTAACTGTTGAATAAGAACTGTAAGAGAATGTAATAGTTTTAATATTTAAAATATTTTTAAAATGAAATTAAAAATATTATTCTTTTTTAAAAATACTTGTGTTGTTGTAAAAAGATTTTTCTACTTTTAAGTGCTGTATTTTTTAAGCAATTGCAAAAAGGAGAATTCTTCGAATATCCTTGTCAAACGAAATAAATTGCATTTTTAATTATTTATTTTTTTTGTTGTAAATATTTTTTTGTTGATTTCTTCTTCTTGTTTCTTCTTATTAATTTATTTTCCTCTCACATTCTTCTTTTCATATTAATTTCCTCCACCAATTGCTGCTGTCACTCCTACAACTACTGTTACTGCAAACGTTGCACGGCTGCATATCCTGCGATTATTGTGAATGCCACACTAAAAACGAAACAACAATATAAAAAATAATTTTACATATCACCTTTTCACATTTTCACTATTGCTCTTCAATGGAATATTCAACACGTCTTGTCTTCTACGGTGCCTTCAATTCGTTCCACTTAACGCGATTCACTTCAACTCAACTCAACTCATCCGATACCGACTGGTTCGCGTGAAATGTGTAATGTGTATTTCGCATGCGAAAAATCCAACTTTTGGCTGTGCTTCTGTACGTTAATAGTTTTTGGATTTATCGCGAAATCAATTGTACGGCATCAACGAGGACACAGCATTAAGGATACAAGGGATTCGAAATGTGCGCCTGGATAACAATCCGCTTATATGCGATGAGTGTCACATGGGCAAATTAATAAATGTTGTGAGACATGTAAGTATATTTTTTACTTCTTTTTAATATCAAATTTTTTTTTCTTACATTAAAGAAATAAGAAAAATAAAAGCTTTTTTATTTTGGAATTGTCAGTCACTACGTTACCAGCTGCCGTGAATATATTTAGTATTATTTAATGCAAAAACTATAAATTTTTAAGTTATGAAAAAAGTAAATGGGTTTCGTGAGGAGCAATATTGATTTTTAAAAAATGTTGTCTGTTCATAGCTTGCTTAGGCGCCTATTGTAGGAATTATGATTGCAAAAATAATAGATTAAAACGTTAGAGTTATGATACACCTGACTAATGTACTGGCAATGCACAAAGACGTGGGTTTGTAAGCACTGAGATTGATATGGACTCATTAAGGTTACGAAGTTATAATCTGCCAATTGGGCGGCTAGAGGTTTGTGACTAACCGTCACTGTGTTCGGCATCGCCGTTGATGTTTGGGAGGTACTGTGGAGCAGCGACCGATCCATTTGCATGAGCTCAGAGGGATGGTATACCTGCTGATTTATATTGTAATACACCCGGATAGACGTGTAATGTACTGAGGGCATGAGTTTGTAGCCATGGGCTGATGGTAGATATGGGCTGATGAGAGCCACAAAACTTCAGGCTGCTAATTGGCACCTTAAGGTCTAAACACGAAATCAAAAATAAAATGTGTTTAATAATAAAAAGGAAGAAAAAAATAATTTAACAACAATTTCAACAGTTTCTTAAAAATTGATAGTAAAAAAAATGTTATGAATTTTAATAAATAATATGAATTTTACACAAATTCTATAAATTTCACAAAACTTTATGAATATTACAAACATTTTTTAAATTTTACAAAAGTTTTATACTTTTCCAATAAAAATCATTTCAATTTAATATTATATTGATGTATTTAAAAGATACTTTTAAGTAGTATTCTTTTCTTACACATCATACATCTTGGTATATATTGAATATCCCCATATGCTTTCTTTTTTTAATACATATTTCATATGATATAAGTATTCTCCTATTATCAATACTCCTAATGGAGCCACACTTTTTTCACAAATAGTGATTCAAACACATTCAGCAGTTGTTAAACCATTTATAATATAATATGGCGAACATTTATTTAAGTAGGTATTATGTGCACCCTGTACGATAGTTCTGTCTAGCAAACATATATCACTGAAATAATGCTGTTAAATTAGAACCGCTAGTGCGTGTAAAAAATTTCACTTTTTCGGAAATAACAGATAGATATATATTAGATTAATTCAAAATGTTCAAGCAATAATATTGAAGACATCTTACATAGATCATGTATTATAAAAACTTTTATTGCTATGATGTATGAAAGTCATATTGCGAATTTTTATATGAACTTATTTAAGTATAACCATTATGCCGAGTATTTAAAAATAATACTATAATTATTATTTGCATACAGTTACAATGGAAATGGGATGCCTATCCAATATGCTTTCTACCAAAAAGCCTAAGAGGTGCCGAAATAACCGATTTAGATGTTGCTGTACTAGATACTTGCTTAGAATACATCACCGATGAGGAACAAAATGCAGCAAGTACTTCACATAATTTTCTTGAACGTGGTAAGTTATGTGGAAGAATATCCCTTTCAATACGGAAACATATAAATATTTATAACCAAAATTATTGCAGCAAAAACTATATGAGAAATGTGTGCAGTTTATTTGAAGTTGCAGTGTACAAATTCACGTTGTATATATAATATTTAACTTAAAAGAATTCTTCTCATATACACAAATCCATTACTTCCACTACTTTTAACTTGTGGAAATGTGAAAATATATCCAGAAATGCTTATACATTTTTTAAGCACAATTTCCATGCTTCATGTGCCTTTTTATTTAAGGATTAAGAATGGATTCCGCACACGAATAAAATTTTTCACTTTAAAATAATTTCCGCAACTTTATTTACTAATATTTAATAATTAAAAATATGCTCTAGAAAAAGCAAAAAAAAAAAACAAAAAACGCTAACATGAAACAAATTAATTTTTCCCCAAAACAATGTATCTAAAACACACAAATATATGTGTTCATATGTATTAATGTATATATATGTATATATATTAAATCCTATCCGTCTGTACACACAAACCATAATCCAAATGTTATAAGTACGGATGGTTTAGATACGGAACATTATCCTTATTTAAAGCATAATGTTTTTTTTATTCTTTTGTATATATTGTACACATTATACGTATATATGAAATGTATATATATATAGATATATATTTTTGTATTTTTTGATTATTTTTTAAATTCCTATTTGTAGGTGGTCTTAATACTCTCGCTATATTGGGTGGCATAATTTTCGTTTTAATTGCCATTATTATCCTGGCTATGTTTGTTTGTTTTTCGAAGCATCGTGCACGTTACTATACACGCGAGGATCGCATTAATAGCAGTGAGTATATGTTTCCAAAGTTTTTTTTTAGTTAATAACAATAAATATATTTTGAAACAATAATAAAAACAAAAAAAGAAAAATTTAATTTATAATATTTTATTGAAATAATTTTTGTGAAATTATGTCGTCACGAGTACATTTTATGTCAGTAAATTAAAAATCCACCTATGTAATCATAAAATGTTATATATTACTTAAAAGTCTGAGTTATATGCATAAATGACTATATAGAAGACATTCAAACTTTATTTAGTGCGGTTACTGCTTTCGAATCCATGCAATATGAGCTTTTAAATATATTAAAAGAGTAAGAGTTTATCTCAATAAAACTGAAATGAATTTAATTTCACTATTCTATAAAAATTGTTACTTTTCTACTTTTAGTGACTATACAAGATAGATAATATATTACAACGTGATTACTTTGAAAACTCTCTTGATCGGACAGTCATCGCCATCCAACTTTTCTTTGTTTAAGAGAGATTTTTGAACAAAAAGTCGTTCCAAATGACAAAAAAAATTTGGTTTTAAAAAAATTAGCCAGTCAGGAAGACAGGATATAGAATCCTAACTGGAACTTCCATGTAATAGCGAAGCTGGAACTGGTACACACGTTCCAATTCACTTCTTATTCTAGACCGATTTATCTCCAACTTATCAATAAACAAAATTATCTTAACAATGAATTCATGTTTAAAATAAAGATATTATTTGTTAATTGTAATTGAAGTTTTAAATAGTAATAATTATTATTGCTAGAAAATCTCTCATCACAATGGCTAGTTTCAATATTTGAACTAATTTATTCACAAACTATATTAGAGTTTAGCTAATTATAAAACAAATAAATATAAATTTATATTTGGAAGATTTGGGATGAGGAGAACGCTTACTTATAGAGACTTTGTTCTACCCCGGAACTATGTGTTATTCGGGATAAGGCTTTCATTGTTGTGATCTGCGTTCAGGTTCCTCTATTTTTTCAGTTGGTTGTCCTTCGCTTGTAATAATATATTTAATTAGTAAATAATGTTATGGAAATTAACTTTATTTAATAAAAATAATTAATTAAATAATAAAGATAATTAATAATAATAAAGATAAAGACAGTTCTCAATTAAATATAAGCAATCCAATCAAAATATCTCATACTAAACTATTGTTTTCTTATAAAATGTTGTGGATTTTTAAAAATATATTAAAATACAAATAAAAAAAAATTATTCGCGCTTTTGTCTTAAATTTGGTAATAACCGAAACGGTTGTATGATCAGCCAAAAATTCAATTAATTAAAATAATACAAAAAGAATTTTCGTTGTTGTTGTTATTCTCTACTTTTCAGAACCTAACTACCAAATATACTAGTTTTTATTAAGTAAAGTAGTCACTTCCGTTAGTCTTCTTCTTCCTTCTCATTACTTTGCTCCAGACAGAACGTGGTGATTCCGTCAAAATACAATTTATATTAAAAATATTAAAATAGTAAATATTCGAACTATAATAAAAATAATGCATAATAATACTATATTATATATAATATCTATAATTAAATAGTATTTTTAAATATATACAATATATCACACTAAGAGATTGCAGTTGTACAGGACTTTGATAAATTTTTCACTGGTAGGGTCAATATCATCAAAGCCCCAAAACACCTGTTGGGTCAAGGTCCAGTCTTTATTTGTTTCAAATTCGCCATTATGGGCTCCCTAGTCTTGAATTTACTTAACGATTCATCGATTTATCCAAGGGGACATCAGCCTGTCACTGGTCAAGCTAAACTACATCCAACTTTAAACTGTGATATCCTGTTATTAAATTTCCTCTTACTCATACATATTCAAGGTGATATCAGAATACTTGTTGTGTCACTGTTCAGGCTTATACACATCTAGTGTTAATCTTATAAGCTCCGTATTCAGTTCAAGATATATCCAGTATTTAAATTCACATTCATAGATATCATACACAGATGATAACAGATATTTATATTCTGTTATCAAATTCATGATAACAGAATACTTGTTGTGCCACTGTTCCGCTTTATACATATCTAGTTTTACTCTTATGAGCTCCGCATCAAGTTAAAGATATATCCAATATTTAAATTCAAATTCATAGATATACTGCAAGTGCTAAGAGTGTACTTATTGAATCACTGTTTAGACTTATACACATCTAGTTTTAAACTTATGAGCATCTCTTCCTCTTACTAAAATTACGAAGAACATGAGAATTTGACAGACTTACCAATATCGCCTTATCAAATCTCAGAATGGTTACAGGCTCCTCGGGGAGGTATACAAATCTGAGATCAAATATTGTTTAATCTGATGAAGTGATAAACAATAATCCAGTCAGGACATAAAGAGGGATTTTGAAGATACCTTGCAGTTAATAGAGAGTAAAAGTAAAAGCTTCAACAAAATAATGAGATCAAAATGGCTTTTTTTAACTAATTCATGAGGACTGGGTCGTTCTTTTACTTCGTCTGCCTACACACCTATTCATTAAGTTACGAAATTGTTCAGAGCTGTAAATTTTTATATAACTTACTATATATAGTTTTTAAAATTTTTATTATATTTATTAAAAATTTAAACTCTTTAAAGTGTTCGGCAAAAAACATATTGCATTTTTCAATTTTGTTTTTTCAAGAATTTTAGTCAAATTTCGACGTCAACAAAATCTTCATGTAACCCTGACCCATAATTTTAAAGAACATTTTTAAAAGGGTCATTTTTTTAACGACTCAGAAGACTTAAGCTATGAATTTATATTTTTATTACATTTTAAATGAAACAATTTTAACCTTTGTTTTCAATTTAAGAGAATACAACGAAAATGTTAATTTTTTCTGAATTTATGTGCGAAGCTTCCAAAAACAACATTTATATATATACATATATATATATATATATATGTGTACATGTATATACATGTATATGCAGATATATATATATAGATATATATATATATATTTGGAAAACAGAAGTAAAATGCAAACTGTTAAAATAAAGCAGTGAAGGCGTAATTTATAAAATAAATCAGGCATCACTGCGCCAGAACTGATGGCTTTACTCTCGCGGGCATTAGGCCAATAACTTGAGGGAAATGTAAACAAAAAGTTCTGCTGAAAGTTAAATAAGAAAAATAAAATGTAGCAGAAGTTGAAAGGCTAAAGCACAGGACAATTGGTATACAAACAAGCAAGCAAGCGAGCAGGCAAGCAAGCAAGCAGGAAACGGAAGTGAAAAATTTTGCACTTAATTAATCAAAACAAGAGTAAAGCTTAAACAATAAACGTTGAACGCGTAAGTTAATTAAGGGTCGAAAAGCAGTTGAAATAATAAATGCGAATGGACAGAAAAATATATTAGTGCATCCAGTCAGTTGAACTTCATGAACGTTTAATACCTACTACTTTTCCAACTTAAGTCATTTATTAAAATCCAAAAATTCTACAAAATAGACAAAGGCAAGTGGAATGGCAAGTGGAATGGCAAGTCTGGCAAGTTGAGAGAGTGAAATGCATTTTATTAAATAAAATATTTAAATTTCTTTTAGAAATTAAAAAAAAGCTTTTACATATTAATTTATTTAAAAATTAGGTAATTTTTATTAGGTTAATTAGTGAAACACATAATACCACTTACTATATAAGTTAATTATACCCATTACTATAATTTAATTTAATTTTTTTATTATTGAAAATAATTTATTAAAACTAATATAAAATTTTTATTAAGTTAATTAGTAAAACATAAAATACTACTCTGTACTCTGTAAGTTAATTATAGCCATCACTATATATTAATCAATTTTTATTATTAAATTTCAATTTATTAAAAATAATTTAATTTTTATTAGGTTAATCAGTAAAACACATAATACCATATACTATGTAAGTTAATTGTAGCCATTACTACGATTTAATTTTTATTTTTATTTTTTATTTTATTTTATTGTATTAAGAATAATATGAATTATAGGAAATATGAACAATAATATTCTTCCGCTTTTCCTTACCGCGCTTAGCGACCTTGTAGAGAAACATTTGCATAGCTTCTTTGTAAAATTGCATAAATGCATAACAGATGTCTCTACAAAAAGAATAGCTTTGAAACAAAAATTGGCAACTTCCAAGAAGATAACCTTTCAATTCGTCAAATTTTTGTGTCCAAATAATACTGGAGTTTATAGGCTCGTTCTTATTTAAAAACAAGGCAAGTGCTTTGGTTAGTGTCACTTATTAAACAAAAAATTGACAAAAAACCTGGAACTTGAGATTGTCCAGTCTTGTCCACTTCTGGAATAACACTATTAGTCATTGCTTCTAAGAACTGTTGCCATAACTTTGGACTTTGTTCCATTTCGGTTATATTTATTTGGTCAACCAATCACATATTCTTAATAACGGATATATCTTCTACATGTGAATGTGAATATACATAAATGACAACCAATAAACAATACATGCACAAATGCTGATTTGTTAATAATTCTTCATACAGTATACTTTTAATTCACTCTATTGAAATCTTTAACTATATTAGTAATTTCGTTTATCAACCATCAAATTCTATATAATAAACCGATTTAAAATATATTTTATTGGGATTTATGAATATATCGTATGTTATATTTAATTGGAATATATGAAAAGTAATATGTGATCTAGATACACACTATCTAGATACAAGTTTTTAGATCTATGGTTACAGTTATCGTAAGAGACTGGTACATTTCATCCTAGTACATCAACAGTTTGATTTTATATCGCTGGGACATATGAGATATAAAAATAGTACAAATATAGAAGTTGTTAGATTTGTAGTTATAAAGGATTGAAATATGTACTTAACTGACATGCATACATCAATATGGACTCTTGAACGACTTTATTTACAAAAATATGGTAATAATTATATATATCATATTGTTGAAATTTTTTATTTAAATACAATGAAGGTGTCTATATTGAGAATACCATTCTGTAAACGATTTTAAATATTGTGCTAGACGTCTACGTTTATTTCATTTTCAATATTGACTAAAATATAGCAAATCAAAAAACAGACTATTAAAAAATAGGTTATAAGCAATTTTTTTTAAATACTTAACCCTGTTCTGTCTACTATATCGATGGCATAATTAATATAATGAAAAATAAATTATAAAATAAGATACGAATCTACTTAAAAACAAACCATAATATTTCTTATAGTGAAAAATTTAAATCATCGTAAATATATAAAAAATAAAAATAAAAATAAAAACAAAATTAAACTAACCAAGCCTAAAAAATTAAAAAAAATACATAATTAATAATAAAATCGGAATAAAAAATAAAATTACAAATAAATTAAAATCAAAATAAAGCTAAACAATAAATTACCGAAATCATGAAAAAATTTCCAAAATTATAACAATAAATAAGAAGTAATATTAAAAATTAGAAGTAATATATCCCATGCTAAATAAGCAAATAACCATTAAGACCATGTCTACAAATTATAGACGAATAAAACCAACATTTTTTAATAAATACTTCAGAAATATATCTCTATAAAATCCTTCTAAGTCCTACATAATTAATTCATAAATATGTATATATATAGCTAAAGTGATATAGCATCTAAAATCTTATTGAATTCCTTATCGGTTTTTATATGTCTTAGGGGAATTATTTAATATGCAGCTTGTTAAAATATTAATAGATATTTGAACCAGACGTCTGTTAAACTACTACCCTATTATTTTTTTGTTGTAGACAAAAGTCCTATTAAGTCCTGGTTAATACGAGTATTTAATAAATTTGTGCATTTTATATAAAAACTCCATGTTTACATTTTTTTTGTTTTTTTTTTTAATTTTGTTAGCTAAAGTAATTACATATAATAAATTTAGACCAAAAAGTTTTTTTTTAAATTAACTTACAAATACATTACATACTACACTTTTAATTTTAATATTAATATTTTCCGAGTCAAGTTGTATATCCTTTCACACACGCTTTAAGGACTTGGTTTGCATTAGTTGAGAGAACTACACCCTTCTCGGTTTCATCACATTTACGTTCCATAGGTTTTTGAGAGCTTTCTTTGGTATTATTATCACAAAAATTTCATATGTTTTTATATATTAAACAATTTAAACTTTAAATTGTTTATATATAACAAACAACAAAATTTATTGCACACAATAATACAATTTCATCACATCTGCCTATATTAAATCATAATTAGAAATAAATTAAATATTAGTAAATAAAAATAAATAAATTAAGTAAAGTACCAACCTTTTAAGTTTATTATTTAAAAAAAATACCCTCAGTAATCCGCCTATATATCTTCATAAATATATAATGTACACCGCTCAACAAAGTTTGTGGGTCAATATGCTCCTCTCTTCTTTTTTGTTTTTTTTTTAATTATATGTTTTTGTTTTATTTTTACCAGTATATCCAGTTATTTAAAAATACATATATATATTGAGCTGCGAAAAAAAATTTTTAGATGAAATTACAAAAAATTTACTTATTGTTTCCTTTAAAAGGCAATGAATAGCGAAGTTCTTAAAAATATATTACAAAAAATTTAATAAAAAATTATTAGTAAATAAAGTAAAATAACTATATATTAATAATTATATATAAATTATAAATTTTAAAATATTCGTACTCACTTATATTTCAATTCACATTATCAATAATAATATAGTTAATATAGTAAACGAGTTTTTCTTAAAAATTAAATTTTAATTTAAAATTAATTTATTAATATTTATTTATAATATTACTTACCTTTACACGCATTTCACACATCAAACACAAAGCATCCAAAATATATTGATCCTATTAACATAATTAATATTTAATTAAGTATATATAATAATCATAATTTCTTTTTTACTTACTGTGTAAATTCGCTTCATTATAAATAAGACAATAAATTTTTTTTTATAAAAGACAAACGTCTTTATAATACTTCAAATTCTCATATTTAAAATATATTTAGCCTGTCAAATAAATAATAACAATTAATTATTTCTTTTTTTTGAATTGAATCAAAAGATTTGCTTAGGACAATGAATACTAATAGTTTTTAATCAATACATAATAATGTAGAATCTAATAAATAAAGTATTATTTTTTATCAAAATATATATATATTATTAAAAAATATTACTATTAATGATATTACTTATATTAAAAATTGTATACATTTTAAGGACTAAGAAGTTTGAATACTAATAATTTTTAATCAATAAATTTTAAAAGTATTATTTTTTATTGTAAAAAAATATTGCTATAAATAATATTACTTATTTTTTATCACAATATATATATTAAAAAAAATGTTACTATCAATTTTAAAGACTAAATATATATTTTAAAAAATATTGCTGTAAATAATATTACTTTATTTTTATTAATATATATATATTATAAAAAAATTATACTATACATGATATTACTTATATTAAAAATTGTATAAATTTTAAGGACTTATGAATACTATGAATATGAATTTAATTAAGAAATTTTAAAAGAACTATTTCATATAAAAATATATATTTTAAAAAAATATTACTATAAATAATATTACTTATTTTTATAAAAATATATATTATAAAAAAATTATACTATTAATGATATTACTTATATTAAAAATTGTATAGATTTTAAGGACTAAGGATTATGAATACTAATAGCATTTAATTAAGCAATTTTAAAAGAACTATTTTATATAAAAATATATATTTTAAAAAAATATTACTATAAACAATATTACTTATTTTTTATAAAAATTTATATTATTAAAAAAATATTACTATAAATAATATTACTTATTTTTTATAAAAATATATATTATAAAAAAATATTGCTATTAATAATATTACTTATATTATAAATTTTATAAATTTTAAGTACTTAAGATTATGAATACTAATAACATTTAATTAAGAAACTTTAAAAGTATTATTTTTTATTAAAATATATATATTGTAAAAAAATATTACTATAAATAATATTACTTATTTTTTATCACAATATATATATTAAAAAAAATGTTACTATCAATTTTAAAGACTAAGGATTATGAATACTAGTAGCATTTAATTAAGAAATTTTAAAAGACCTATTTTATATAAAAATATATGTTTAAAAAAAATATTACTATAAATAATATTACTTACATTTAATATTTTTTATATTAATAGACAGCGCATGCTTATCAAACAAAATGTGAATGGCTGTTTGATGTAAATTTTTTGTTTTTAGTTGCAATCAATCTGTTTTTTGTAAAAGTTTCTTTACACGTAATGTCGGCAAAGTAAAATAGTTAATAACTAATAAATAAAAAATTTTATTATATATTTTATTTTAGTTGTTAAATTGACTCAGTTACCGTTCCTTCACAACAGTTTAATAATTATTCTCATAAATCCAAAATCTGTGTACCTTCAGTTACAAAAAGTGCATATAAGTTAAATAAAAGACTTGTAACAACTTATAGATCAACTTACTTCAAAATGAACTTCAATCAATTATATAGGGCCCAAATACTTTTTTATAGTTTTTTAGCATAACATATCAAGTGTATAGTGTAGCTTATCTATACATTGATATGTATGGTTATCAATCCTTAAGTATAAACTTTTCAATAGAATTAAAGCTTTTGATTCCATCACATTGTGTACTGCCGCCATTGCAAATCAAAGACCCTTTCCAGAACGAGTTATTGGTACAAGATCTAAAAGTACTTCTTTATATAGTGTATTATTTAATTTAATATATATTAAAAGCAATAAGTTAATCAAATATGCGGAGTATTTACGATCTCGGTAAGCACATAACATTGTAAAAATGCAAAGCAACAACATGAAAACGGATTTTTAGTAAAACTATTAATATTTAGTTTTATAATAATAGTAATATGTAAAACTAATATATATTACTTATAATTTAACTAATATCATAACTAGCTCATATTAACCCACTCGAGATCATTACCTCTTGTATTCAGTTTTAATCAATGAATGTGGGTTCAATTCTATATAAAATGAATTCAAGTTACAGTCTCTTAGTTGTTAGTTATAACAAAATTTATTTTAAATCATAAATAGGGAGTATTTTTTCATTATTTAGTATATTTAAGTGTAAATTGGTTGAACCTATTTTGAGGTTAAAAATACTTACTTCCAATCGTAACACAACAATATGAAGAAATCAACGTTTTCTATTTTATAGCAATCAAGTACTCTGGTTTTCATGATACTTGATTGGTTTTCTGTGTTCTTTTTTTTTTTTTTTTTTTTCTTAAAATATAAAGAAATTTTTTAATTTTGGAATAAATCGAATAAGAAGAGAGCACTACTTACATATAAAAAAAATGGTATTATTCTTTTTTTTCTTTTTTTGTTATAAACCATTGGTATTGGTTTATAACGATTGAAGAAATTCGACCCTTTTGAAGTAGTCAAATATACGCGTTGGTTTTGGTTGTGCTATATATATATGTTATGATATTGAAAAAAGTAAAATATATTTTAAATAGTACTCACGTTTTTGAGCAGTTTGAGGAAGTAACTTCTTTTGTTTTTCGTTAAATTGACAAATCTGGGTGTACTTTTTCTCAATCGTATGCGTCAAAGGATACAACTTGAAATATCGAATACTGCAAGTAAATATTCGGAATATAATAATTTGTCAAATTTTTTTCACTGATTTTATACCACACACCTTCTCAAAACACAAGACATTTTGTTTTTTTACGAATCAAAAAAAAAAAAAGATTGAAATATTATATGTCAATAATTTTGTTCTAGAGAAGTAAATCGAAACCAACTGTTCAACAAAAAATTTTATAATGAAAAAACAAATAATATTTTTAAGTTGTAATAATATAACTTAAAATATTTCAATGCTAACTAGAAAATTTTTACACACATGTCAAATTTTTGTATCTATTGTATATACAGTAGACTCTCGATATAACGAAAAATATGATGTGAAATCTAATTAGACATTCATTCTATTACATTTTATATGCAACATTCATTAATATAGATAATATTTTTGTTTCGGCGAATAACAAATTATAAATACTTGCCAGTTTGTTATTTAAAGGATTCGTCAGACTCCACCGAACCCTAAATATAGTGTATATATAGGGTCTCTATTCGTTTACATTAAATATATGAGTATTTTAAATATATTAGCATTTTCAAATTTTCATAAAATTCACTTTAGTCTAAAAAGTTTGTATTTTGAACTGTCAAATTTTATTTTGAAACTGTCAAATTTTTTTTTTGTCAAATTTTTTGTTTTTACGAAAATTATGTATTAATTTTGAAACTGGCTTATTGGTCGTAATTATGAATAAAATTTAATTCAGTTTCATAACTTTTCGCGAATGCCAATAATATGATAGTTCTCATTAGTTTTTAAATTTCAAAAATGTTATTTTTTTTTACCAAAAATCATAAATTAATTTTGCAACAAAATTGGTCATTTAATTACAGCACAACTTTATAGTTTTTATTGATATTGTTTTTCGTTATTCCGATTATCTTAGATAATGGAAAATAATTTAAGCCACGATAGCGTATTATCACATTCTATATTTAATTTACAATTTTAATAATTATAATTATAATAATTAGAAAAATTAGAAAACGAAATGAAAGACACGTCAAAGTATTTTCTTTAATTTTCTCACTCACCTTCTCAAAAACAAAGACATTTTGCTTTCCAAAAACCAAAAGGATCTGATAAAATTATAAACCAATAATTTTGTTCCGAAGATACAAATTGAAACCAACTCCTCAACAAAAAATTTTATAATGAAAATAATAATATCTCAAATTACTATGAAATAATTTTGAATATTGCAATGCTAACAAGATGACCCACTTGACCTACTTGATATTAAGAAACTCATCTTCAGAAGGTATCAAAATGATTATTTATATTTAAATTTTACTTCACACTCCATATAAGAAAAAAATACTTATAAAATTCTCTAATGTAATAAATTCTCTATTTTAATTAAATAAAAAAAAAATAATTACAAAAAGTATTAACTGACGTAAAATATGTATATACTGCTAATATAGTAACCTCTATAGACAGGCCGCCGCGTTGTGCTTTGAGCTGTCATCATTACTGTATCCCACGCTGCACTTGAAATCAGATTAAAAGACTCTATTTAACGCAAAAAACCAACTTATTGCGTTCCATAATGATTCAAATTAGGTCCACTTTAGTAATATCTTAGTACAAAAACTTAAGGATCCAGATTATGACAAGTTGTTTATGTATATAGTATATATATCATCTCTATCAAAAATCTAAAGTACACAATTACCACAATATGTGTGGCTTACAGATTGCTATCTGAATGGCACATATGTTATTATAATTTCCTATCTCGCTGGACGTGATATCTAATTTGTACAATTCCTCTTTAACAACCTCAAAAATGGATCATTCATCTCTATAAGTTACCATTTGAGTTGTATCTGCTGACCCTTGGTTATATGGATTCCTGATGGGAGCCTATTAAAACATTACATCGATCTTCTAACTTTTTTAGGACCCATGTTCATTGCACCACAGTTCTATTGTATTCTTCTAGCAAATATAATTATAGAAAACATGATTACTTCCGAATGTCAGAACTGTTGTGAGTAAAATTAGATCAGCACGTAGCCAAGTACAAAGTAGTTGGCACATATCAGGAATTATCAGGAATTAATTCTGTGAATTTTTTATTTATTATTTTACTGTTAAAAGGCATATATTCAAAATCATTTAAAAAAAAATATTCTTACCAATAATTGCAAAGAATTATTTTTCATTTTCAAAATTTTAACTATAAATTTTATCACGTATCTCTAAAGATTTCTACACAATCGTTAAATTTTATGACTTCATCGGACTTATGTCTTATGATTTTAAAAGTATTAAAACTATAAACCCTATAAATCTAAAGCTAAGTTCATTGTACAAAACATTTTTTTTTTTTGGAATAACATTTATCTTTCCTTTACTTCCGTAGGCGAGGGCAAATGTTTGGAAAAGAATTTGGAAGCATCCGCAAATAATGCCAACAGCAATGGTAACAATGCAAACACAAGTAATAATGGCAGCGGTATCGGTAATGGCAGCAACAAAGGCAATCGTGAGGCAACCGGAGGCAATGAAATAAATTTCAAATTTCCCATTGATGATCGCGTTTGTACAATTGATGAGTTTGTTTTGCCACCCGTGCCACCACCGCCAGCACATGAACCACCAAAAGCAATGATAAACAATAGTGGTAATATAATGTATAGTGCAACACCCACTAATGGCATAAACGGCAATGTAACTGCAATAGCAGCTGTAGCAGCTGCCGCAACTGTTATACCACCAGGAGTACCCTCGGTAACAACAACGCTCACGCCTGCACGTATTGTACCAACAAAGACAATGGGAGCTGCAGCAGCAGCATCCACAGTGAATGCACGTGCCACTACCACATTACCACAGGAGACTGTTGTAGTTGTATTGCAATCACCACCACCAGCAATGCCCCTATCATTACCGCCACCACCAACAGCAATTGCAAATGCTGCAGCAGCTACTTCATCATCAACAACAATGACAGGAAGTGCGATAGCCGGCAACGTTGGTCAACAACCGGAGCAGCAATTATTGCATTTGACCACACTTGAGCCATTGGTTAGTGTCAACTGACCTCGGGGTAATATCGGTCATTTTGGTGGCTCAGCCACTGCCATTAATGTTATAGCTGTTGCCATACCAACCACAGCTAAAACAACAATTCAACCAACTGCAAAAACACAAACAACATTTAAAACTATAACAACAACAAGCACGTAGTTAGTTACTTCTTCATTATAATCACAGTCATCATTATCAACATTAACATCTGCAACATAACCAGCAACAACAACAACAACAACAATGGTTGCTGCAATTGCATTAATATAAAAATGGAGAAGAAATTTTTTAAGTAAGCAACGTTGCAGTAAAAAGGAAACCCATAAAAAAGACAAGGACAAAAATAACAGAGAAATATAAGACAAACGTTTAAACAAGATAAATATTGCATTAAGGTAAAGAGAAAAAAAAAAAGAAAAATTAAGTAATATAAGTTAATTAAATTAAGATAGAATAATAAGCGACACAAATAAAAAACTTATATATACTATTTATATATATGGATATATTTAAGGATTTAAGTGTTATTTAAATATACTGCAGTTCAAAAAAACAAAAACAAAATGTAATGTCTTCAAGCTTTCACAATGAAGTACTGCTTTCTAATAACTTTCTCCACTCCCTACAGACAATTTCACCTTCTAGAACAAAGCAAAACTTGGTATTTTCCCAACAAGCATTTATTTTATATATATGTTTATATAAATGTAATTATATACATATATATTAGACTGGCCATAAGTTGTATGTGAAAAAATTTTTTTTTGATTTTCATATGTTTCTGCTTGTTAAAATATTCCTTTTGATGATAAATTAAGGAAAATAAAATTTCAGATCGATCGCATTGTGCCAACCCGTGCCGAGTTGAGCTCAAAGTTGTAAAAGTACCTCAATATAGAAAATCTCATCAAAATTACTACTTTGCTCGTAAAATATATTACTAACAGTTTTATTTCAGGAATATTTTTGACTAATTTACATTATTTAAATGTTTTTACGTTATGATATTGAATTCACTTACGTCTGTTTCTATTCCCTACATAATTTTTGATACGAAGTAACAAAAGCTGAGTAGTAACATTGCTGTTATAGTTGTTTTTTGACTCTCAAATTGACAACGAGAAAAAAGTTTAACGATAATTGATCATTTACGTTGCAAAAATTAATCTGAATTGATATGGATTCCGTTTCATCTTTGCAATCAAAATCATCTCTAAAGCGGCTTAGATCCGATGATGATAATATATGGTATTTTTAATAGGAAAATGTGAAAGCGAAGTCTTTGGAGCAAACTTGCCGCCAATGAAGCAAGTATGTTACTTCAACTGCTTTTCTATAAAATTCGTGCTGAACACAAGACCTTGAAACGAAGTTTTAGAAATGTGATTGATTCCGTATTACCATTTTGGCAAAAGGCTCGTATTCCTACTCTAACTGAATCTTATTGCCGAAAAAAATTACAAAAATTGTACGATGAGTGGAGGTTATTACAAAAAAGTAGCAAATCTCCACACGAAAAATGCCGAATCAGAGAAAAAGAGTTCCGTGAAAAGATAGAACATTTTATATCCGATATCGCAGTACCTACTGCTGTTAAAACAATGAATATCCAAGAAGATAAAGATTTCTTGATTCAACAAAGAAAGAAAGACCGACCAGGAAGCATAGCAGGCATTGATAAAAAATTATCACAAAAAGAAAAGCGCAAGTTAGAACTATTGGAGAAACTTGATAAGCGTAAACAGTTTCTTTACGTTTCTTTATTTGTTTTCAATAAACATACATGAAAGTATATTTTTCGAATAGCAGCGACAGATTCTAGACTCGATATTGAGCATAGCGATAATAGTGAAGATTTTATGGAATATCCATCGTTCTCGGAAGTAGCAATAGAAGAAAATATTATAATTGGAATACCAAATAGTCATTTACGAGGAAAAATACATTTCATTGATGATAGAATGCTTGCTTGCATGGATAAATCTAAAATTTCTACTAGAGATGCGATTCATTTCATAAGTGCAACAGCAGCTGCTTTAGGTCATCGCGTAGAAGATCTTGTTCTGAATCGTACAACTGTCCACCTGATGAGAAAAGAATACCGATGCAGAAAAGCGCATGATATTTTGAAGAATTTCAATGTAAATTAGTTAAAGTTTTTACTTTTTAAGTTTTATTTAAGATATTTAATTGCAGATCCCTCAAGTTTTTGTATTCCATTGGGATGGAAAACTTCTACCAGAAATGAAGGGTAAAGAAAAGGTTGATCGACTTGCTCTTGTCGTCACAGGAGAAAAAACCGAAAATATACTTGGTATTTCGAAACTAGATAACAGCACTGGTAACAAAATCGCACATGCAATTCATCAATTTTTAATTACTTGGGAATTAGACAACTTAGTTGAATTTATTTGCTTTGATACAACAAGTTCTAATACTGGTATTCACAAGGGTGCCGCCTTTTTGCTCGAGCAGAAATTGGAGCGTGAATTACTTTTTCTCCATGCTGCCATCATATCAACGAAATATTTCTAAAAGCTGTTTTTGTACTGGATTTTGGCACCTCATCAAATGACAAACAGTATTTATTGCAAGTTGTTGAATATTATTGACACATGTATCCATCTCATACTAAATCGTCACTACTAAGCCGAAAACATGAAAAATGTTAAAAACTATAACAGTAAAACAAACAAAATAGAGTATAATTAGGTGAAAACATATAAATAATGTAAATTATTCAAAAATATTCCTGAAATAAAACTGTTAGTAATATATTTTACGAGCAAAGTAGTAATTTTGATGACTTTTTCTATATTGAGGTACTTTTACAACTTTGAGCTCAACTCGGCACGGGTTGGCACAATGCGATCGATCTGAAATTTTATTTTCCTTAATTTATCATCAAAAGGAATATTTTAACAAGCAGAAACATATGAAAATCAAAAAAAAATTTTTTGCGGCCACTCTAATATATATGTTTATACAAATATATATAAAAACGCTATATATATATATATAACAATACAGATATACTTGCGTATGTGTGGACATACTCATTTTCACACTTTTCCAGGAAATACATTTATATTATATCATTTCTATGAGTTTATATATAATTTAAAATTTTGAAATTATTTCAATGCAAAATTTTTAATATATATATTTTTATTATTTATGTGGGAAAGACATTATATTTAAATTTCAATGCAAATCACGTGTTTTAAGTCCCGGAAATAGGTTTTTGTGCTCTAATAATTTTTAAAGAGATTCTACATAGCCGAAATCTGCACATTGCTGGATGTAACTGAAAACTGAATATATTATATATACATATATGTAAATATTAAACTCTTACATCTTTTCAGATTGTTTTCAAAGTAACTAAGTAATATATTGAAAATGCTCCCTCATAAAAAAAAATAGCTACAAAGCACAACATATATAGTATAAATATCAACTTTATATCTATATAAATATCTATGACAAAAACAAATTCTGTTTAAGCGTTCCTCCATGGTATGTACAAAAAAGAGGCTTCACCCTTTAAATAAATATTTTTTATAAAACATTTATTTACATATTATATTAATATAGTTTCACATTTTATTTTTTTTATTATCATATTTGAGGATATAATAAAAACAATATTAAATCACATGCATAAATATATAAAGTAATGTTAAATTAATAAAATTTTTGGTATAATATAAATAATTTAAATATTATTTACTTAAATTAATATTAAAACTTTAAGCCTTAAAAATCATAATTTAAAAAGTTCTTCAGTTATATTAAAACTGCGAGATTTTAAAATAAATATAAATATGCAAATTATATAATATATATAATATTTTTTCCACAACTTTTTTATTTTATAAATCTAAGATCTATATTTTTATTAATTTTAAATATACATAATTTATTACATATATTTTTTTAAAAAAAAATTAATTTTAAATAAAATTTAAAATAATAATATAGATTTTTCTTACATATTTTTTATAAATTAAAATATAAACATTTTAATATGTAATTTTAATTTATGTGAATTAATTTAATTATTAACAAAATTAACAAAATAATAAATACAAATAAGAACAAATTATTTTCTATACTTATACTTTATTAGTTCATTAATAATAACGTTAATTTATAAAAAATAATTGTAATTGTTTATAAATTATTTTCTTTATTAAATTAAATTAATTTAAATATATTGAAATTATATATTGAAAATTTCAAACATTTTATACAATAACAAATTTTAAAAATTTAAGTTTATAAAACATTTTTTTATGAATTTTTAATCTTTTAATCTTTTTTATATAAATATGCTCAAAAATAACCCATAATATTTAGTGTTTTTAATAAATACGAGATATAATTTTTAAATTTTTTGAAATTTTTTTTTAAAATATTATTGTAATTAAATTTCTATGCAATTATTTATATTTTTTATTTTTTATAAAATATTTTTAAATAAAAAATATAAATCATAGTTTTTTTTTATTTCTAAAATGATCAATTAGCTCGTTAATTAAAAATTATTTAAAAATATTTTTTCAATATATATTTATTTTTTATTTGATTGTGTCTTGTATGTCAATATTTTTCTATTATTATTATTTTTTCTTCTTGTTAAATATAATATAAAATAATAATAACTATTGATAGTTAATAATAATTATTAACATGTCAAATTATCATTAATAAAAATACTTATAATTAACTATTAATAGTTATTATTAATTGATAGTTAATAATAATTATTAATATGTCAAATTATCATTAATAAAAATACTTATGATTAACTATTATTAGTTATTATTAATTGATAGTGAATAATAATTAATAATATTTGAACTTATCATTAATAAGAGTACTTATTATTAACTATTAATAATTATAAGTATTTTTGTTGATGATAATTTGATATACCAATAATTATTATTAACTATCAATAATTTTTATTATTTTAAATTATACTTAACAAATAGAAAATATAATTAATTAATTAATTAACTATTAGTAATTATATAAAACTGTTATAAAAAATGAGTTAGATGAAATATTTTTTTTTGGGTGTCAATGTTTATATTGTTATATTTTAATATTAATACAAAAATATAACTTTTATTTTTATTCTATGTTTACACTTAAAATTAACTAACCTCACTAGTACATTTTTGCAGGTATTAGGTATAGATTATGTATTCACAATGGCAACTTTTGTTCCCCACATTTGTGGAGTTAATTTCGTTAGTGTAAACGTGGTGTTAATTGCTCGTAAAGTATTGCATTTTAAAAATTTTTAATTCTTTTTTGAAGTTAAATCAAACGTACAACGGAGCATCAAATATAGTTCGCCGGGTCTTTGATTAGAACTTCAGTTATAGAAATACTAGCAGTTTCTAAAAATTGTGTCCACATAAACTTTATTATGATTTTATTTAGTTGTATCGATAATAATTTATGAATTAAAGCATAGTTTATTTATTTTGTTGCTTCATCTATTATTAACTAT